TTGCAGCCACATGTAGCGACTGCAATCGTCCACGAGCAGGAGGAAGTACCGCCGACCACCGCATGTAGCAGGCGTGATTGGCCCACAGAGGTCGCCGTGAACGAGCTTGAGAGCTTCCTCCACGCGATACTTGGCCGCCTTTGGGAAAGGTAGCCTCCTCTGCTTCCCGGCCAGGTAGCTGTCACATAGCTCGCCTCCGTGCTTGATGTGGGGCAGCCCTCGGACCATCTTTCCTAGCCGACCAAGCGTGTCAATGCTGAGATGTCCGAACTGGACATGCCACATCCACGGTTCCTCAGAGTGTCTTGCCGCCAGGCGCACACCGGCTGCTCTACCTTCAGGTCGAGCAGGTACAACCGGTTCAGGGACCTCTGCACCTTGGCAAGAAGTCACTGCTCCCGGTCCCTAATCCTAAGGACGCCGTTCTTGATCAGTACTTCGCTACCGCGCTCATCTAGCAGACCAATGCAGATGATGCTGGAACGCAGCTGCGGAATGTAGTATACATCCGTTAGCGCGCGGTGCTCCCCGTTCTGGCATCTGAAGATGATGGTGCCGCGCCCTTGGATAGCCACCCTTGAGCCGTCATCAAACTTCACCGTACCGGTAACATCACCGTCGAGCTCGGAGAAGGATTCCTTGGAGCCTGTCATGTGGTTGCTGGCATCAGAGTCCAGATACCACCGCTGCTTCTGGTCGGCGCCCACATGCCCGAGGTGAACTTGGGCTCGTGGTTCGTCGAGGTTGACGGTCTTCAGGGCCTTCCCAGGTCCTTCCATCGTCGTCGCCTCTTCCCTCTCCTCGGCCTCGACGTCGTGCAGTGCACAGAACGTCGCCATTAGGATAGTGGCTTCATCCTCATCATCGGCTTGCGCCAGGTGAGCCTGAGCCTTCTTCTCCTGCTTGCCATTTGGGCACTCCCGTGCGCAATGGCCCATCTTCCCGCAACACCGACAGGCATTGGGGTCGACTTGCTTCTTCTCCGAAGAAGCCCTACCACGGTGCTTGCCCTTGCCACCGCGACTGGAGGAGGCTGCCTTCCCAGAGTTCCTCCGAGCAGCCCACTCCTCTTCCGTCAACAGGAGTTTCCCACTGTCCTTCGTTGCTGTCGCCTGCTCCAGGCGTTCATCCACCGCCCGCAGATGGCCTATCACATCCTCAATGGTGAGGGTGGACAAGTCCAGCATCGTCTCTATGGAGAGAGCGATCTGGATGTATTTTGCCGGCACGGAGTGGAGGTACTTGGAGACCGCCTCCTCTTCGTCGATGGTGACGTCGTGGCTCTTCAGCTTGCTAATGAGCGTCTGCAGGCGGAGGGAGAAGTCCTCTACCGTTTCACCATCCTTGAACTTGAGGAGGGCGTACTCCTGCTTCAGAAGCTGGGCTGTCGCCTTCTTTGCGCGGTCGGAACCGACGCGCATCGCCGCAATAGCCTCCTATGCCTCCTTAGCCGAGTTCTTCGTCCCCAACGGCTCCCTGTACTCCGCCGGTACAGCAGCGAGGATAGCCTCCAGCGCTGACATGTCAACTTTCTCATTGTCGGTGCCTTTGTCAACAGCATTCTAGAGCCGTCGGGCTCTGAGCTTGACCTTCATGGTCACCGACCACTCTCCATAGTTGGTGCGAGTCAGCGTCGGCCAACTGGTCCCGCTGACCTCCCGCACCGTGCGAACAACGACCTCCTTTTGTGGCTGCACAGCCACAACAGTGCCACTGCTGTCGCCCAACTCAGAACTGCCCGTCATCGCCAGCGGTTAGTCTAGTGACGGCGCTTGTACGGCTCTAATACCACTTGTTGGCCCACAAGATCACCGGCTCAGACGAGTGAACCACTCCGCCGATCTTGCCGAGCACCCACTAGTCGTGCCGACCACGAGTAAGCGTTGTCCGTCCCCACACGCTATGACTGGAGCTAGAGGAAGAAGAGAGAACAGAGCAAGCATGCATAATACAAGACACCAGCGTTGGCCGAAGCCCTATTTGTGAGATAACAAATCTGAACTCTAATTATTGAGTTGCCGTGTATGTCTATTTATACAACTCTATCTATCTAGTCCTAGTACATCCCACATGCTGTAACAGTAACTAGATAACACTGTCAGGGCTAACTCTACGCCGGCCACTGCATGACTACAGTGCTGTAGGTGAGCCGTGCGGCGCCTGCACCTGCAACGGCTACAGTATCACAGTAGGGGGTCTTTCGGCGCCGTCTTTCCTTGCTGTGTTCACACAAGGTAACAGTAGATTAGCTAACACCAGTCTGGCCTGATTTCTCGGGTATTGTTTCTGCCTTACTGGTGCTACTACCGTGTAGGAATTCTTGTTCAATTGAAAGATCGGTGAGAGTTGTTCTTGCTATTGATGTAGGCTACTTTTAGCTGTAGAATGAACTGTCTAGTGACTGTAATGAGAGAAACTAATGTTGCTCATCTTCAGGCTGTAGTCAGTGATATAACTGTTTTATCTGATCCAACCAAGTACTTCTTTTTCTAGCAGTCATGTAGTAGGGAATGTTTTACAATTTGATCAGATGACTTCTTTTTTTTTTCTTTATTCCTGTGTTTAGTACTTAAGAGAATTGGCAGTCCTATATTCATTTTTATTTTTGTTAGATTAAACCCAGCTCATCTGCTATTGCGTTCTAGTATTTAGTTGTCATCAGTGCCACTGCTATTACTACTGCTTCTTGTTCTATGCTCGAGTACTTCAGAGAATGGCTTGCAAAGTTGCAATAATCGCATGGTCCTTTACCCAGATTCAGCCTGTGATATTTCATTCTTCTCTGACTGATGCTGCCATACACCCCGTGTTCTCACTAAAGGTTTGGCCCCTGTGCTGAAGCACTTCTAAGGTCATGCTTTTTTTGCTAGATTTCTCAGGTATTGCTACTAGTGCTACTGCTACGTCACAATTTCCCTGCACAATATCAGCCAAGTGGGGGGTGGGGGTGGGGACTTGGGGTGAGGGGGGGAACTGAACAATTATGCACCCAACGGACAGGTAGAGCACTTGCTGGAACTCTTTATCTCAAAAAACAGATACACTTGAATATATTTGATGCAGCCTTAGTGTTCTGACAGCCGTGTTATTGCAGGCTTCAGAGAGTGCTTGGATCAAGTAGCAATGGACAAGTGAACTAAAGATGTCCATGGATCATGACTGCGGGATTGATTTCGTTTAAAAAAAAATGGCTGCGGGATTGATTGCTCACAATCATAGGGGTGTGCTGGGTCATAGTCAGGAGTGCTGGATTCTCTTGACTTGCCTGCTGCTGCTGGACGACGTCGTTGCCTCGTTGGCCCACACCAACGAAGCAACTCAGCAAGCTTCGGCCCTGGAGGAGAAGCCCACGATCACCGGCGACGGCTGGACACCCAGAGCGTACAGTAACTTCTATTACGCGATACGTCGCGCCAGCGTCTGAGCGCGCGACAGAGGCCGCCTGCGTGAGTTGCGTGAGAGCTGGCGGCCTACAATCCTAGATGCATGGCATCGCACGTGGGCTTGTTCTTTTTTTTCTCGTAACCCGAGCCCATTAATCTAAAATCAGTGTTCTTTTTCAAAATGTCATATAACTTTCTTAAGTATATAGTCTATTTCCAATTTTGTTTGCACCAACATTCTTCCTTTTGTTGAGATCTACTAGCCCATTAATCTAAAATCAGTGGTCTCTTTTAAAATGTCATACAAAAGTAGATCCATGATATATATGTTTATGAACTTAATTATATTCATTGTGTAGTACTACCTCCGTCCCTATTTATTAGTCGTTTTGGCTATGGTACTAGCTGTCCAGGTTCAGAGCACCTTTTACGTATCTGGATGTTACATGTGTCCTAATTTAGAAATTCATTTGTGTATCTAGGAGGACGCCCAAACAAATTCAGATAAATGGGGACACATGGAGTAGTTAATTATGTAGTGCAGGTTGCACTTTTATGTGTTCTCGACTCAGGTTCTTCGTTTCGTGATCCGTTTCTTCCGTGGTTTTCTGAAGTGCCTAGGAAGTTTTCCAAATCATCAATTCATTGAGTCGGGTGATTTGGATGTGAGCTCTTGCTCCATTTGTTTGGAGTTGAGAGCATCGCTTTTGCTTTCCGGTGTGTTTTTGGTCAAGCTTTTAGTTTCAAGCTATTGAGTGTTCCGTTGTGTTCTCTAGGTTTACCGGAGGGCATAAGTCACTAGTTGGCTCTAGGACGTCTCACCCGCGTGACTTGGTGTTTTTGGAGGGTTGTTTTGGACAATGGTCATTTTAGAAGAAATTTGATTGACTCTCATTCACCTCCCCCTCTAATCGTCTTTCTCAGCCCCGGTGATATAAAGAATCTACAATTTAATAGAATATTGACATCCCATTTTCATGTCTTGGGGTCATATGCACAAAGTTTGTCCACTTATTTAACCTTTGCTGAAACATTGTTAATTATTATAGACTCATAGTTTATTTGACACATAAAATATTTCTGATTGTTAATTAAATGATGCTTAAACAAAACAAAAGCTCATTTCAAGTTTTCAAAAATCAAATTCTGAAGTTCATCCGAGTAGTAGGTGGCCAGATAATTTAGGTGGATACACAAGACGTTGTCCCCATAGCTATGGAAAAAATTGAAGGAGCGCAATCCGTACCGATGTCCAGGCCTCCACCCAGTCGATCAAGCTGCAGCAGCCGAACTAGAGGATGTGGCTACGGGGCAAAACCACTTGGTTAAGTCATTATGTCGAATCCAACATATTTTAGACTCTAATAAAATAATAATATGATATATAGCATCAAGAGTAGGCAAAACTCTTGCTCGTCCGTTTAAAAAGAGGAAAAAAAATGCACTTCGAGCTCATTCCTTGTTTGAATTGCGATATGAGACACACACACACCACGAATGTGTGTTAAAACCTAGGTGAACAGAGTCATACGGGCATCCGGGCATGTCTGATTCCTCATGTGTATCTATCCCGCCTGCTACGCGAAGAGCTGGTTCCATATACTTCCATGCTTTAATTCATTCGGTAGCAGGGTAAGCACTTGTTGTGTCTTCAAAGCACAACCACCTGTCATCACGTTGCATGCATTTCCTGTAAAATGGAAGGAAAATTATTTAATCATTGTTCTTGTTAGACTTGTTCAAAACATTGCTCAAACACATATAAGTTGCTTCTTTGAAATACGTCTGTTAATGAGTACTCCCTCCGTTCCTCTTTTCAAAGACGCACACATATATCCAGATTCAAACTATTCATTTTTGAAAGGCAAGATTCAAACTTTAAATCCTTTGACCAATAAGTTGACTAATAATTTTTTAATACAAATTCGATGCGGTAGATTTATAATTAAATATACTACTATCCAATTATCATAACTTTGTAAGTATATAAATAATGTAATATAAAATAAATAAATGGTTAAAGTGTGATTGGGAGATGGTGCCATGTCAATCTGCCTTATAAAAGGGAATGTAGGGATTATTCACTAGCCCATCAACCCGTGCTAAAATCTTAGTACGAGATATAAGCATTAGACATTAACATTTAATACCTAGAACTAAAAAAATTACTTCAACGTATAGGTAGATAATTTAGATACAAACAAAATGTATTACTCTACATTATCTTTAATAATAGCATATGGAAATAATTTAGATATAAATTCAAGTGTTACTTTACATTATTTTATATAACGACAGAGATTGAAAATTTATTTACAAACTTGGAGTATTTTAAATTATCTTTCATCATGGCAGAAGTATGCAATTTAGATAGAAATTTACAGAGCTATTTTTTAAAATTATTTTCATAGTAGCAGGTGTGGGCAATTTAGATATTAGATATAGATTTAGGAGTCTACATTATGCATTTTTTACAATGGTGGAGGTAGACATTTTTTTGTATAAATAAAAAACGCAATAGAGCCAATGGCTATTATAGACTATGATATTAATAGGATGTGCTAAATTTAAAACTAAATGTTTATTATTATTATAAGGATTTTTAGAATTGATCTTTTTTTTCCTGGCAAGTTTTCATGAACATTAGCCAGGAGTGTTCTTTGGGGTCTCTAATAATTAGTAATAGTATAAGATAAAGAATAGCTTGGCTCATAGATGCTCGGCCCTTTTACTAACATTCAGCAAAACAATTTAAACTTGGACCATCATCAATCACTTTCAAAACAAGGCTTAGAATTTATATATGTAGATATATCCATGAAAGTCAAACAAACTTACGACCTATCTACTTGTGTCAGAGATTAACAGTCTGAAATTAAAGTCATGTCAAGTATATACATACCTCCTTACATCTTTCCAAGTGCGCGGCTGCAGCCCAGGCATAAGCCCTTGAAGGATATCGGTCACAAGTTTGTCACGTTGTTGTATTGTCACGTACTTGGGTTCCGTGCCAATCGGAGTCGGCGTCCGCGTCCTACCGGCGGCAACCTCGATGGCGACGTCGGAGAGGCGGCCCACGGCCTCAATGCGCACCTCGTCAGCATAGCAGCATCGCCACTCGAACACCGCCAGCTTGGGTGCGCGTAAGCGGAACAGCGAGTATTTGGTGAACACGGCTGTGGCGCCATAGTGACACGAGAACATCAGCGGCTCCGATAGCGATTCAGTCTTGCTGTACCAAGGGCATGACATGCGGAGAGTCCTCAGGTCATCGGCGAGCACGGTGATGGCGGCTTTGGTGTCATCTGTCCTCACGCTGACGTTGGTGAAGCGGAGGTGTTTGAGGCGAGGCATGGTGTCCGACGAGATGCTCATACTGACAGCGAGCGTGCACTCGCCGATGTGCAGGTCCTCCAGCGACGGGAACACGGTGGCGGCGAGCGAGAAGTCCTCGCTCACCACCGTGGGCCCCAGCAGTGTTAGGGACCGAAGGGCGCTGATGTCGGCGCCGTGGATGCGCGGCGGCCTCACAGCGTACGAGAACGGTAGCACCTGCAGCTCGACCGTAGCGGGTGGCAGCTGGAGGGACCAGGCGCCGGCGTCCGCGTCAGGTAAGAACTCCTCGCCAGGTAAGAACTCCATGCCCACGTGGGGGGTGAGAACCAGCTTCGTGGCGTTGGCGAGCGCGATCATGTCGTCTGCGTACCGGCATTCCATGGCCACGTCCTTCCTGTAAACCAGACGAAGCGTCTTGATAGCGTGGTGGTCTGCGCACCGGCGCCGGAGCGTCCGCGCCATGCTCTGGACGCGCTCCTCGCTCAGCGTGTCCACAGGCAACGACAGGCAGAAGGTCAGGTCCGGGAGTTGGGAGAGAAGGCGCTCCCACCTTGTTGAAACCGACACCGTTCTCATGAGAGTCCTGTAGGGGCACAAGGACAGGATCTGGACCAGAATGTCGTCCGGCAGCTTGCTGATATGGTCCTCCTCCTTGTCTGCTGCCGTCGTCGTTTCGTGTTGTGGTGGCTTCTCCATTGCAATTCTGTTGCTCTTCTCCGCCTGTCGAGTCATAAAGGCACAACTCAACTGCTGCGGAACTAGACCGGATCAAAATCAATAAAGTGATCAAGACATGTTGCGTTTATATATAAACTGGACAGGACTTTCATAGATCAGAGTTCTTTTTCGTTTTTTTGGTAATATAATACTCGTAACCGAGTCCTATTTGACTACGAGTGCAGGACAGAGAAGCGTACCCTGACGACACCGGCGACGTGAGTCTCGTCATCCGGATAGTGTCCGTCGTACGACCGGAGTACATCCGCGCTCGGCGCCGCTGCGACCGCCTCGTCGAGCACGAGGACGATCCTCCCATAGTGCCGCCGCCGCCGCTTCGGGAACTGACGGCCGCTGCGCGGGAACATGGCGTCTAGATTAACGTTCCACAGGCGGACGATGGCGCGGCCGCGCTGGCTGCAGGAGAGCGCGTGCGCGACGTAGAGGACGCGGTGGCCATCAAGAGATATGAGTTGGGGGATACCATGATATTCATCAGGCATAGTCAGTGTTAGGCAGGCTCACGAGCCCGATTACATTCTAACACTCCCCTACAGTCGGAATTGAGAGCACCGCGAACATTAAGACTGGACCTAAACTCGGTGAAGACGGACGTCGGCAAGACTTTGGTGAAGACATCGGTGTACTGGGACGTAGTGGGCACGTGTAGGACGCGGATTTCACCGAGGGCGACCCGTTCTCTGACGAAGTGTAGATCGATCTCGACATGCTTGGTTCGCTGATGCTGGACCGGGTTGGTGGAGAGGTAGACAGCACTGACGTTGTCACAATAGACCACGGTGGCACGGCGAAGAGGATGATGGAGCTCTTGCAGAAGTTGACGTAACCAGCAGGCTTCAGCAACACCATTCGCCACGGCCCGATATTCCGCCTCAGCACTGGACCGGGACACTGTAGGCTGACGTTTGGACGACCAGGAGATGAGATTGTCCCCGAGAAACAGCGCATATCCAGAGGTAGACTTGCGTGTGTCAGGACATCCCGCCCAATCAGCATCTGTGTAGACAGTAAGATCAGTCGGTGTGGTTCGGTGGAGGTGGAGACCAAGATCCAGAGTACCCTGAAGGTAGTGGAGAATGCGCTTCATAGCACCAAGATGAGGCTCCCGAGGGTCATGCATATATAGACAGACCTGCTGAACAGCATACGCAATATCTGGTCGGGTGAAGGTGAGATACTGAAGGGCACCAGCGATACTGCGATAGTGTGTAGGGTCGGCGACTGTGACACCATCAACAGAGAGCTTGGCGTGAGTATCCACAGGGTGCTGTAGGGCTTGCAGTTGATCATACCAGCACGTTTCAGAATATCCAACATATACTGACGCTAGGAGAGAAACAAACTATCACGATGGCGCTGAACACTGACTCCGAGGAAATGATGAAGAGATCCCATGTCCGTCATAGAGAATTCCTGGCGAAGAGCTGTAATAATCCGCTGAAGAAAACTCATGGAGGAGGCCGTCAGAACAATGTCATCCATATATAGGAGCAAGAAAGCCATATCAGAGCCGTGACAATAAATGAACAGCGAAGTATCACACTTTGCCTCTGTAAAACCAAGGGAGGTGATATGAGAGGCAAACCGACTGTGCCAAACGCGAGGAGCTTGCTTCAATCCATAAAGAGACTTGTTCAGGCGACAAACATAATCAGGTCTGGAGGAGTCAACAAAACCAGTTGGCTGAGCACAATAGACTGTCTCGGTCAAGGTGCCATGGAGAAATGCATTCTTCACATCAAACTGATGAATTGGCCATGAGCGAGAGAGTGCCAAAGTAAGAATTGCCCGAATGGTTGCTGGCTTGACCACAGGACTGAAAGTTTCATCATAATCAATACCCAGACGCTGTGTGAAACCGCGCAAGACTCACCAAGCCTTGTAGCGGTCAAGAGAGCCATCTGACTTGAACTTGTGACGAAACACCCATTTTCCTGTAACAAGATTGACACCACGTGGTCGAGGCACCAAGGTCCATGTGTCATTGGCTTGCAGGGCATCAAACTCCGCCTGCATAACAAGGCGCCGCGCAGGGTCCGATAAAGCGGTGCGGACAGAGGTGGGCACCGGAGAGAGAGCCGATGTGTGCAGGTTTAGGCGGTCGACGGGATGGCGAACACCATCCTTGCCACATGTGCGCATGCTGTGCGCATTGGTGATAGGGATGATCGTCTAGGGCACCGTGGCGGTGGTGCAGTCGGTGGGGCGACCGGCATCGCTGGCAGCGACCTAGGATGGGGCGTCAACAGGGGCAACAGCACTGGTCTGCCCGCCTGAGAAGGCACCGCTGGGAGCGCCCGTGGCTGGCGCCTGAGGCGCGCGGCCGCCGCTGCGTGGGCTCCCCAGGGCGGCGTCCATGCCGCTGGGAAGATGGGTACCTGCATGCACAACTCTTGACCCACTGGGTGAAGAGGAATCATCAGTGTCATCCAAAAAATCAAGTGCGGTGGGATCCTGGGGTGAAGTGGACATATCGGCAAAGGGAAATGCCGTCTCATCAAAGACAACATGATGAGAGATGATGATCCAGTTAGAGTGAAGGTCAAGACACCGATAGCCCTTATGATCGGAGGAATACCCCAGGAAGACACACAGGGAGGAACGCGGTGATAATTTATGTGGAGCTGTGGATGATAGGTTTGGATAGCAGGCGCAACCGAAAACACGAAGGTGGGTGTAAGAGGGCTGCGTGCCATATAAGGCAAAGTAGGGTGTTTGGCCGTCTAAGGTTTTTGTGGGGTGGCGGTTGAGGAGATAAGTGGCAGTGTGTAAGGAATCCGCCCAATAAACCGGAGGAAGACTGGCTTGGAACAAGAGGGAGCGCACAATGTTATTAATTGTGCGAAGAGTGCGCTCAGCCCGCCCATTTTGCTGAGAGGTGTATGGACACGACATCCTAAGGACGACACCGTGGGTGAGGAAGAATGTGCGGGCCGAGGAATGGTCAAATTCACGGCCATTGTCGCACTGAACTGCCTTGATGGAGGAGGCGAACTGCGTGCGCACATACGAGAAAAACTGAATGAGAACGCTAAATGTGTCCGACTTGAGGCGTAAAGGAAACGTCCAACTGTAGTGAGTGCAATCATCTAGAATGACAAGATAATATTTATAGCTAGACACACTAACAACTGGGGATGTCCAAAGATCGCAATGTATTAAATCAAATGGGCGAAGCACGTGAGAATTCGACATGCTAAAAGGGAGGCGCACATGGCGGCCGAGCTGACAAGCATGGCAAACATGAGTGACATGGCGCTTATTACATGGAATAGCATTGGAACTAAGGAGCTTGGATAGAGCCTCATGGCTGACGTGACCAAGGCGGCGATGCCATAGGGTGGTGGAGGACGTGGCAGCAGTGAGGGCGGTGGTGCTGGGTGGTGCCGGCGAAAAGAACGGGTATAGATCACCTTGCTATTGCACTTGGCGATCACGCTCCGTGTCTGGAGGTCCTTCACAGAAAGGCCAAAAGGATCAAACTCGATGGAGCAGTTATTATCAGTAGTGAAACAACGAACGGAAATTAGATTCTTAATAATGTTAGGCAAAACTAAAACATTAGAAAGAACTAAAGGATGTCGTGAAGTAGAAAAAAGGTGTGATCCGACGGAAGTAACAGGAAGCGAAGCCCCGTTACCAACAATGATAGATGAAGGACTCGATGACAAGGGAGGATGAAAGGATGAAAGTATACTAGCGTTGTTGACCATGTGAGAGCCGGCGCCGGAGTCAGCGTACCATTCGCTTGATCCCGGAGGAGTGAGCGTCATGGTGCTGAAGTTGCTGGCGAGGGACGACGTGTCGAAGGACCCCCCCGTGCATGGGAGTCTAGCCCTGTTGCGCCGGCTGCTGCTGTGGTGGCGAGGCGTAGAGGACGGGCTGCCCGTAGCCGAACCTTGGAGGAACGCCGTAGCCGTACGGCGCCAGGTAGGGCTACGGCGACTGAGGCACAGCCATAAAGGTAGCCGGTGGTGGGCGGTAGGGCACCCCTGGGGCACTGCCGGAGGGTGGAGGGTGTAGCCAGAATTGGACCATGCTCGGCCACGAGTTGTAGAGCATCGGCGGTGGGCGAGGAGCACCGACGTTGGAGTCGTTGTGCTGCTGCTGCTTGTTGCCACCATGGCCATAGCGCCGTCCGTATCGGTTGCCCTGATTGCCACCAGAGCCACCCCCTTGGCCGTTGTGGACAGGGGCGCCACCCGAGGGAGCACGTCCTGGAGGAGGACGAGCGACGATGGATGATGAGCCAGAAGTAGACGAGCCGATGACGAGGACGGTGGGAGCCGGAGGAGGCGTGGCGTCGGTCTCGGCGGCTACATCGTTGAGGTCGATCTCCTCAAGAAGAAGTAGCGTGTGCGCCTCTGCGAAGGTGGGGAATGGCTGCCGTAGCTTGATGTTGGTCACCATGGGCCTGAATTTACCGCTGAGGCCGCGAAGAAGCATGAGGATGAGGGTGCGGTCGCCAACCGGATCGCCGAAGTCACGAAGAGTCGCTGCCATCGTCTCAAGGCGGCGACAGAAATTCGTGATCGAGGACGCCCCTTGCTTCGCCTTGCGGAACTCGGCGGACAGCAGCAGTGCGCGTGATTCGCGCTGGCCGAGGAATTCATCCTCGAGATGGGTCCAGGTGATGCGCGCGTTTGGGTTCTTCAGCATCGTGGACTGCTGCAGATTGGGGTTGATCGTGCCGTAAATCCACGTGAGGACGGTGCAGTCCATCTGCACCCATGCCGGCCGATCGTCGTTGACCACGTCGGTGAGGACATGATCGATGAGGGCATACTTGCCCAGGACGACGAGGAAGAGGGCACGGTAGTGGTTGTAGTTGTTGGAGGCGCGGTCGAGGATCACCGGCACCAGCACCAGCACCTTGATGTTGAGGATGGCAATGGCGGCGGCGTGAACGTCGACGTGCTTGGCCTCATAGGTATCAAGAGTGGTGGTGCGGGCGGCTTCGGCCTGACGGCGACAGGCGTCCTCGGCCTTGCGTTCGCGCTTCTCGCGCACTTCACGGGCCAGGCGTTTGGCGTCGGTCTCTGCCATTAGGTGTGGATCGAGAGCCGGCGAGGATCAGCGGCGGTTGCGGATCGGGCGCCTGCGAGGAGGACTCGGCGAGGCAGGTGGGGGCGCACGGTGCTGTCGCACGCGTGCGTGGCGAGGTGGTTGGTGAGCGGAGGTTGCCCAGCGACGGCGTGAGCCAGTCGATCGTGAGGATCGGCGGCTAGGGTTAGGTTATGAGGAAGCGAGAGGCCGCGGGAGCGAACCGTCTCATGATACCATGAAGAGATATGAGTTGGGGAATACTAGATGATATTAATCAGGCATAGTCAGTGCATACGTATAGGCTAGGTGGGGAGCTTTGATAGGCAGGCCCAGGAGCCCGATTACATTCCAACAGGCCGCACCCGCGGAGACGACGCTGCCGGCGGTGCCTCTGTTGTGAGTGCCCTCCGTAGGTGCCTCTGCTGGGAGCTGTAGG